TCTCTCTCTCTCTCTCTGTCACACCTTTCCTCATCAAGCACAATTTAATTAATCTTTAGTATAATTATCTCTCCTTCTTCACCTCCTCTACCTCCCTTCTCTTCCTCACACATTTTTCTGTAATTTTTCATTTTATCTCACCTCACTTGTCTTCCTCCTCTCCTCTTTATTTTGTTTTTTCTTTTGCTACATGTAAATATTTGCACTTAACAAGATCAAATTTGCATTTTTTGTTGTTTTCTGTTGCTTTTGATTAAAAAAGCCATTTCCTTCTGGCAATTCTTTCCTCCCTCTTCTCCTCCTTTTATTCTCTTTTCCATCGTTCCACCTCCTCTCTGATCCTCTCCTCCACTCTCCTTGTTTTTCTTTCCCTTAAAAACAACTTTATTTATGAGTCAGAAAATATGAAATTAAATAAAAAGTCAGGGACAATATAAAAAAAAGTAAAAAGTTCTTCATGATGTGCTTTTATATTACTTCCTCCTGTCTATTCTTCCCATTGTTTTCTCTCCTCTCACCTCATTGTTTCTCTTTCCTCTCCCCTTCCCAACTCTTGTATCATCTCCCTTTCTTGTCTCCTCACCTCTCCTTATCCCCTTCTTCCCTCTCCTTCTTCTTTGAGCAATGTATTTATTGATTTATCATTAAATCAACCATCAGCATTAATATGAAATATAGTAATATGATATAAATGATTCCCTCATGAACACCCAACTTGTTTTTGAAGGTATATATTTTATTTTAAGCCTGATTTGGACCAATACCAGCACCCTAATTCAACATAAACTGAATTATTTTCTCAGCGTTTAGCAAGTTCAGGGTTCCCAGGTCATTTTCTTGACAATACAGGACAGCACCTGCTCACAAACTGTCATATCGTTTACCGGTTAACCTAATATTGACACATTAACTTTAAATTAAGTTTTATTCCTCCTTTTTTAATGATGCAGGTTCACGATGAAGTGTCTCAGGTTCAGTACAGGCAGATGGTCGGTGTTTATATTATCTCACCAGCCAAATGTTTAGTTTTTTCCTTAATCAATTAACATCGCTGTACATGTATTTATCAACCATTTATTTACATTTTGCGTCTGGTAAACCCGCTTTTAAGTGTCATGCTGCACACATTATCCTACCAACAGTAGAGTTTAAAATACACACACAGGTTTACGTAAGCTACATTTTCAGGTTTTCCAGAGACGCTCTTACACAGAGACACACATTTATGCAGGTGTGATTTTTCCCCCCTACCTTTATTCAGCAAACAACCCTCCCCTACTCTGCCTCTGATTGGCTCTGACCCTGACATTTATTTCTAACCCTAATCATCTCACTCCTCGTGTGTGAAAACCTGACCAACCAAACCAGCACAGGCCACGGATACCTAGCTAATCAGAGGCAGAGCGGGGCGGATCTTCGCTGAATGAACAGGGGTGTGTAGACTCATCGGGAGGTACTCATGTGGACAAAAATCAGACCGGTACTCTACTCACGAGCACTGGCCCATTTCAGGAACTGATCCAGGCACCAACTGTAGGTGCAATCTAGCAGAAGTTATCATCGGTTTTGCATGTAAAATAGCAAAATCAGTACTTTTATATTTTTCATCCCCTTTTCTTCCTCTTGCCTCCTTCCCTCTCCTCTCCCCTTTTGTTTCCTCTCCTCTCTCATCTTTCTCTCCAGTGAGCCGAGTCATAAACTGCTACAGCTGATCCTCACAGCCACTCAGTCATTTCACCGTTATACTGGTACAGTTGTGTGGGAGGCAGGCCGAGAGAGAGAGAAAGAGGGAGAGAAGGAGGGAGAGAGTGTATTATTGTGTGTTGGTGTGTGACACAGAAACATTATGTGCAGTGTTTCTGTGTGTTTAGAATTGGCAGCCCGACAGCGTGCAATTAAATCATTCCTATAGTGCTTATCTTGCTTGGGAATATGTTAGATTTTCTGTGTGTGTGTGTGTGGTCTTGGCACCAGTTTACAGTGAAGTCGCTGCAGCTTGTTGTGATTATGAGCGACTGCAGACTCTGTATCGTACAGAGGAACAGTGGATCACTGTTATCAGGGTTCCCACTCTTTTTAACAAATCATTTCCGGGGACCTTTCTTTGACATTTTCATTACATTTGACAAGTTTTACAGGACAGCACTCACTAACAAGCGGTCGTATGAGCTGCGCTTTCAGGGCAAATTGACTATATTAGTTAAGTAACATTTAAATTCAAGTACAATTTATTTTATTTTACAGAAAATACATCTCCTGCAAAGTTAAAGTTTTTCAATTAACGTCACTGTGCATGTATTTATCAACCACAGCAACAAGAACTGTGGTCATTATTAGGCTGGATGCATGTACATATTAGGATTTCGCTCGCAGTTGTGGAAAAAACTGATGGTTTATAAGGGTTTTGGATGGCACCGACAAATGATCCTGCTGATAATGGCGTCAGATCAGACTCAGATCACTTCTTTGTGTGGTTCTATAGGGCATGTACAAACAACATATTTTTTTAATTTGGAAGACCTTTGACGATAATACCTCTCTACTTTTACTCGTAATGGATTATTTTTACATTGTTTTTAAATGGAGGATCTGTGTACTTGCACAAAAAAAAACATCTTCACAGAGAGAACGTGAGCCAGATAAACACCACTGAAGCTTTATTTTGCTTTAGTGCATATCTTTGCAGATATACGCTAAAGAAAGAAAGATAAAACACCAAAATAAAATATATTGAATCTATGATGTAAACGTTTCAGTCACACATCAAAAGTTGTATCTCTTCTAATTTTTTTTTTACGTGTTTCTGGTCTAAACATGCTTCTAGAAAGTCACCAGTCAAAAAAACACGCTGAAATAACTCATTTACTTTATTTTTCTGTGACTATTTGGTTGGAAAGCTGTGTACGTTAGATTTGGGTTAAAAGGCCTCGTCTGGTGAGAATCCAAGATGTGTCCATGCTGAGGGAGAGAGACATAGAGAAGGAGTGCAAATCCCAGAGAGAGAGAGAGAGCGAGAGAGATAGATTACTGTGTGTGTGAAAGAAAAGTGGAGGAGTATTTACAGCGTTTGTGTGAAGGCAAGAAAAAGGGAGAGCGAGGCAGAGACAAACAGAGAGAGAGATCATGCTTCATGGTGTAAAACGATCTGACACATTAACGGTGATAAGTGTGTGCGAAGTACTGATGAGTGAGGAGAGGAGGGAGGCGACACATTGGGGGGGACACCTGAGCAGAAACAGGAAATGATCTCGAGAAATAACTCAGAAATGTTGATAAGTGTGTGTGAATTATAGAGCGAATGCAAAGCTCACACACACACACACACACACGCACACACACACACACACAGAGGAAATAATCTTTGCATTGTAAACTCATGAATGCTGATGCAGGCCGGGTTCGCTCTGTTTGCATAATGCATCATCTCAGCCGTCATCGCGTCGATCTGCTCACTCGTTTAGCTCCAGCGTGAGGCTGATTTCTTTCCCTCCGACCCACCAGCGGCATGGCCGACGTACAGATGACAAATCCTGACGTGATCAACATATTTTTTTTTTACTGTGATTGTTTGTTTGTTTTCAGCGTCTCAGCCTGGAGAGTAAAAAGCAATGACTGACTCCTGAGCTCAACACTATTCACTCCTTACTCACTCAGGTTTCCTTGCCACTGGCGCCATGTGTTTGCTCATGGTAGGAATTGGTCTCTGTAAATAATTTAATAGTGTCTGTTATGATTTGGCACGGGACAAAAAAGAATCTGTATCCGGAAAGGTATCACAAGTTTATGGATTTGTATCCAGATGTATCATATTATATCATATTAGAGACAGGGTTGTTTGTTTATTTACATCCCTGTTAGCTCTTACGTATATTTACAATAAGAACATTAATATATTTACTTCAATCAAAAAGGATGCATCTTGCAGTGAACATATTACTGTACATTCATTATGAAAGCCTTGTTTATATATATATATATATATATAATATATATTATATATTATATATATATTATATATATTTATATTTATGTATAAGGACTGTTTTTTAATCTCCACTCTTCCGGTGAAAGCTAATATTTCCTGAAACGATCTTCTGATTGGATTCTACTTGACACCTGAAAAAAAACATAAATTTTACCTGAAGTCACAATCCCGACATGGCTGACAACTTGCCGAAAACCACTTTGGTTAAGGTTAGTAGGGCTGTAAAAATATATCATTTATCAACTGAATGGTCGAGGACCTGAAGGGATGGTGGTGTAACAAGAGAAAAAAGGAAATTACAATAAACAAAAAAGACAAATACTTCAGGGCACATGGGGGGGTTGGGGGATTACTTCCCCGCGGCTATGCTATAATTGTATAAAAGTCACCACAAAAATACCACGGGGCACATCTTAAACCGAAACACTGGCGAGCCGTGGGACGCCACAGCTGTTTTCTACTACAAGACTGCTGCTGTTTTCCCAGCACGAGAGGCAAAGGCTGGGTGACTTTTGTCCTGTGGAGTGAATTGTTGGGATATTGAGGTAGCACAACGCTGTGTCCGAGGCTTTTTAGCGAATACCGACCATGATTTGATGATGTGACGCCTTTGTGCGGTTGCGGCGGTGGCTTTCCAAATGTTAAATTGAAATGGAAGAATAGTTAAATTTAGCAGCAGCACTGTATCTTAAAATATTTACTTAGTACTTTAAGTAATTGCGGGGGTGCTAGGTATCTTATCGAGGACTCTTTAGACGTGCACTAGAGGAGCCCGGGATCGCGAACGCCAACCCTTCTGGATTAGTGGCACGACCGCTCTACTAGCCCGAAGGGTTAGCGCATTTTTTTCACGTTCAGGTGGAAAACTGGTACTACCAACACATTTCACCTGCATCGATAATCCATCTTAGATGGTTCACTACGGACTACGACACTTTTTAAATAACACTATGTGATCTTTGTTTGGGCACTGCAGATCCTGTCATTCGGTCCCAGGGCTTCCACTGTTAATCTGAATCAATTCCAACAATCAATACAGCTATTATCTAACACCAAACCACACGCCTCAATTCAATATTCAGCCCACTGATCTGCCTGGCTCTCACTTGCTAGAAAAGATACACTGCATGTGTGTGCTCTGTGTGTGTGTTTGTGTGTGTGTGTGTGTGTGTGTGTGTGTTGCAGAGCTGCCATATGAGGCATAATTCAGACTCGGCCTCTCAATAAGCTCAACCCTCGACTCAACAGTCTCTCGCGGTAAAAAAAAAAATCCCACATTAATATTCTTCATGTCAACCGAACGAGCCCGAGCTCCTACTCGACACCAAAAATCGTTTCCATATCATTATCTGGTGCAACGATGCATAGGAGCAGTGTGTGTGAAAGCTTAAATAATCGTCGATGCAGCATCTTGACACACACACACACACACACACACACAGAAAGTACTTGGACAGTGTGTGATTGTCAGGGTGATGTGTAGTAAAATATTCAGTCATTGATCCAGACAGCATTGAAATGGATGTTTGCATCACTGGTGGCTGATATTGTCACAGTTTTTATTAGGAAACATCACCAAAACATCAGTTTATTTACCATCCAGAAACTGACTAAAGTTATTTTTGCACACCCGATGATAAACTATAACCATTATTCTAGTACAGTATAGAAGTATAATGAAATTTGCCCTCTCATTTAACCCCTTCCTAAGTACTAAGAGCAGTCGCCACTTTACAGCACCAGGGGACCAATTCCTGATCTTAGCTAGTGCCTCGGTCAAGGGCAATAACTGGAGAATTAACCCAATAAAACTCAGGCGGACACACAGGGAGAACGTGGAAACAACACACAGAAAGGCCCTGTCCCAGCCCGGCATCGAACCTGGGACCTTCTTGCTGTGAGGTGAAAAATAAAATCCAGACATTTATGGCCATATCTAGTATTTTGAATGCTGAAAAATATATATGAAATTCAGATTTAAGGGCCAGTGTGTAGGATTTGGTGGCTGCAGATTGTAACTCCCTCGTTTCCCTATCTAGAGTATAGCGACACTTTGGCCTACTAACAGTTAGCTAAATAGCAACATCGGCATGATAACATGCTTCCATTGACAATGCTAACATGCTGACGCTAAGCAGGTATAATGTTTACCATGATCACCATCTCAGTCTAATGTGATAGCTTGCTAATCTTTGCTGAAAGGAAATTTGACACTTCAGGTCAGCACTTGCTCACAAACACTCATGTAATTTACTGGTAGGCCTAGCATCGATATTAACTCCAATTTTATGCCTCCTTTTTCAGTGATGCAGGGTTTATGATGTTCCTCGGGTTTGTTACAACACTATAAAGTATGCTGCAAGTTTGTTCCACTCCACATCCGTTGTGAATAACTACATCGACTCACAAGGCTGAAATGAAATGGGAGTGTTTAAAATGTTTTTCCGTTGCGCTACACATCTCTAACCCATTTTGAAGTGACGTACCGTCTGCCAACAGTCGAGTTAACAACAAACTATGCACCCAGGGTTACATAGGGGATCTGAGTGAGGGGCTAAAATAAATATTTCCAGAATATTTGGTCATTTTAATCAATTTTCAATAGTCTCTAAATATCCGGATCTTCCAGTGGGAACCCTGGAATTAGAATAGTTTGTTTTGCAGGTATTGCAGCTATTTAGTCATAAAGGTTCGGGTTAGGTAGATCAATAGACAAACTATCCAGAGCTGGGCGCTTTAGCATGGCTAAAAAACATAAATAACGCAGTTTCCATTGTAAAATCATTGCAAGGTGTTAAATCTGAAACAAACATCGCTTTTTCAAGAATAAAATAAGGGTCACAGGTACACCAGGTGACAACAAAGTTGGTTATTTAACATACAAATAAAACTACTGTATGTAGAGCTATAAAAGAACAAAACAGGAACACATACTAAATCAGATTACAGTTAATGTTTCTGTGATTATATTTTATACACTGAAGGCATTTTTAGACCAACAGATTCCAAAACAAATACAGTCATAACTGCCTATAACTCACAATTAGATTTGTCTCTTGAGCACGACATAAAGCATATAGATATGGCCGCTGACAACCATTAATAAACAACACATTTCAAAACATTTAAATAGTGCATTGTTTCCCCCCCTTTTGAAGTCTTCACAAATGTCCACTTTTACTTTATGTGAGTATCTAACCGGCGCAGTATCACCTCCTTTGTTGTGTTTCACTCCTTTACAGACCATTAAAGACAGCACACATGGACACACACTGCGTTATTATGGATGGTACTCACGTTGAGAAGGCGTTGTTCTGCCTCTCACAGCGGATGCCCTTGCAGTTGTTGTGTTCTTCTGAGGCCTTGGTCTCGTAGTAGAAATAGAGCTGGTTCAGACCGTTAGCGAACGCCAGCAGGACCTGCGGAGCGGAGACATTATTCAGTATCACTTTAAGCATGGTGGTGTTGACTTATATCACAGGAGTAATGAAGACAGTGTAAGGAAACAGAAGTCATACGAGCAGGTTTTTCTGAACCTGACATTACATTTTGTTACAGTGATTGACCCTCTGGTCCTCCGGGGTATTTTAAAACACGGCTTTCTTCTCAAACAGGACACAAGCACTATGGTGTTACGTAAAGCTGCTACTCAGCGAGCATGAAGCAATGTGGCTCCTGTGCCTCGGGCTCACTGGGATTGATTTTAGGACTTCAGGGAGCTAAGCAGTCCTCGTGTGGATTGTGTTGTAGGTTAGGAGCTCCCCTGGGAGGGAATTAATGAGTTCTGAATGAAATGAAACAGGCCTGTAATGTCCTTCTACCATCGCTGAAGGATACAGTGTGCTGAGGATTTCTCTCTCTCTCTATTTCTCTCTCTCTTTCTCTCTCTCACCATCATCAAAGACTCAGTTTGAGTATAGACACAAAGCTATAATAGAAAAGTATTCAGACTGAAATATCTTCACAATCTGCAGCTTTACTTATCTGGATTGCGACAGATTTGTGATGCATATATTCATTTGCCTCCATACAGCTGGTTGTCATTGACACGTCACTTCTGAGGTCTTACCAGACAGTAAATAAACAGGAACTTGAGGATGTCCAGCAGCATCCTCCCCAGTGAGATCTGCAGTGGCCCGAGGTGGGAGTTGGCGGTGAAGAGGGAGATGAGTCTGAGGGAGCTGAAGATGTTGGCGATGGCGAACAGAGCTTCAGCTATCAGCGTCGGGTGCCACATCTCCCACTCCTCCCTGGGACGAGAGGAGTTATACTGGAGGAAGGAGGGAGGAAGAAAAGTTCTGTTAAGATTGTGGCAACACAAGAAGCATCAATGAAAAACACACACAAGCTTATATAGCTGAATTACAATTACACATTGCTGGTTTTCTGTCTAATCAGGAGATGAAAACATGGATATAAATTTATATTTTGTGTTTAGCCTAGCTTAGCACAAACAATGGAAGCAGGGGGAAACTACTAGCTTACTCTCCACAGTTAAGATAAGAAACAATGTGTAAATGAGACAATTTTGGAGCAATTAGAAGGCTTCTTTAATGGAGTAGCTGCATCCAGTCTTTGTGCTAAGCTAGGCTAAATGCCTTCTGGCCCAATATGAACACACAGATAAATTAGGTCTTTCTTCACCAGAAAAAAATCTCAAATGCCTTAAAAACCTAAAGACAAGTTTCCATCCAATTTTTCTTTCTAAACTTTATGTGTGTATTGCCCTTTAAGCAGGGGCATTTGCAGACTGGTGGCGAAGTGGGGCACTGACTTATGCAGAGCTGGCATTAAGTTTGAGTCTCAGCTTTAAAGTCATTCCCAATTTACACAGTTCTAACACTGTTTGTGGATCCCAGTATGCAGAAATATTCAAATACACTAAGAGATAAGTAATACATTTATTCCAAATGCAAAAAAAACTGCATGTGATTAGCATAACGTGGGCTTGTGGGTATCCATAGGGGCCATTTTCATTCAGATATCTTCAGTTCAGAGGTCATTGGATCCCTTTGAAAATGGCCATGCCAGTTTTTCCTTCGCCAAAATTTAAATTTAAAACTTTGGAGCGTTATTTAGCTCCCTTACCGACATGCAAGCACCACATAGCTGGTAGCAAGGTCAACTAGTTTCATATAACAGTATATTCACTATCTAGCTTTAAAACCAGAGCCAGTGCCACCACAGCCCCCCCTTTGGACTGAAGTTAGTAGTATACTGTAGGTCGATCGTATCATTTAACCCGCACCTAAATGGATTTATGGAGTATTATAAACGTCATAAATCTCCCTCAAGCTCGCTGCAGATTGTTTGAAGCTCCACACAACTTCCTCTGTTTTTCTGTCATGTGTGTTTCTCTGGATTCTTTCTCTCCTTCCGTCTATCAACTGTCTTTCAAGCTCTCATTTTATATGCCCCCCCCCCCCCCCAGCGTTCTCTGTTTCTGTTACTTTATTATTTTTTTCTTGCTTTATTCATGTGTCTGTCCATCTCTCTTCATCCCGTTCCCACTGTCTCTCTCCACATCTCCCTCGGTTGTCTCATGCTTGACTTCCTTCTCATTCTAAATTCAGCCATTAGACTTCCACGGGACGTCTGTCTTGTTAACTCTGCCTCTATTAGCATTCACCGTACACACACACAAACACACACACAAACACACACACACACACACACACACACAGGGGCACTGCCAGAAACATGCACACAGATGCACACTCATTAATTTATAGACTCTCTCGCACCTTCTCTCAGATGCACTTGCGTCTGTCTGCATCTCTTTCTCTCTCTCTCACTCTCTTTCGTTCTCACACACACACACACACNNAGATATTAATGTAATGTTTTCTGTAAGACATCTCCTCACCCTGAACACCACATTGAGAGGTTCAAAGACTAGTAGATACTACAGGACTGTCACAGTTTGAAGGGGTGTTGCCTTTCATTAAAGCTTCAACTCATGCCCGTCTGTCCAAACAAGTTAAACTGCTTCTGTGTGTGTCTGTGTGTGTGGTAATATTATAACGATGTTATGTGTTATGTTATATGTATGTGCACACTTTATATCTATATGTGTGCGCTTATAAAACTGCGTGTATGTATATATGTGTGTGTGGGACCTGTGTAGGAGGACCACCCGCCACCATCGGTGACTCACAGCTGCTGCAGATGGCCCGGCCGTCTGGTGTGTGTGTGTGCACGTGTGTGTGCATGTATGTGTGTGTGTGTGTGTGCCATTCGCTCTTAATAAATAGATAAATCTTTGTATGCATGCAGAATGTGCAGCCATACAAAATATTATTGATGCTGAGAGCTTTGATGTAAAAGTGAGAAAATGACTGCATCAAAGCAGCCAAGTGGAACTCTGCAGAAAGACTCCAATTTGTTGTTTTACAGGTCAAAGGTCATGACTGATGTTCACAGTTTATATTATTCAGATTGTTTGGTTCCGCATGTCATCTCATATTATTGCTCTTTGCACGTCAGTGTTCAGCTCTCTAATGAAGGTTCTTGCTGATGTTGTCAAAATTACTATGAAGGTGTTAAAAGGAATATTTTTATGATACTGTTTCATTAAATTTCCTTTAATTTTTCAGCCATCTGTATCGTATTGTATCACGTTACTGTGAAAACATGAACCTGATCATAGATTTTGGGCTAAAGGACTAAAAGTCTGCACATAAAAACCTCAAGGACATCTGACGGACTCTCCGTCATGCAGATTCTTGTAGCTTTGCAAGCAGGGTTTCAGTTTCATTTGAGCTCTCTCTGGAAATAAACACTTTAAAAAATGAATGAAGATTTGAACACAGCTTCTCTTTTTGCCTGTGGTAAGGACTCATGACCTCAGAGCCACTCTGAGCTGTGATACTGTCAGTGGGAACGAAGTACGTTTACTCAAGTACTGTACTTTACTTGAGTAGTTCCATTTTATTTTAACTATACAACTCTACTACATCCCAGAGCCAAAAATTGTACTTTTTACTCAACTACATTTGTGTAGCTTTAGTTACTCTGTGATTATGAATGTTTATAATAAGCTGAAGGGTTAAAGGTCCAGTGTGTAACATTTAAAAGAGTCTATGGGAAGAAACAGAATATTTGTTTTCATTAATGCAAAATCACCTAATAATAAGAATCATTATCTTTTTGTTACCTTGGAAAGAGCCTTTTATGATCTACAGACGCTGTGGGTCGCGTCCCATGTTGAACAGCCATGTTTTTACCTGAACAGACAAACCAAACACTAGCAGTAGAGAGGCCCTTTTGTGATTTTTGGGAGTTTTGGAACCACCGTAGTTTCTCCTTTGAGCTTGTAACGAGAGGAAGTTACACTCTCCAAAGACATACTGGATCTTTAAGCGTTTCTTTATGACGAAACATTGCTCTATAGCGCTACTAATGGTCACAAACTAAACCAAAGTTCGCTGCAAGTGGTGTGAACAGCTCTTAACTCACAGGGGGAGCAGAAATTAAAGCGTTTTCCGTTCTGCTTTGCGGCTGGTAAACCCGCCTTTAGCGTGCAGTTTATCCTAACAACAGTTGAATCTCAATCAAAATGCACACCCAGGTTCATCTAATCTGAGTGAGGGACTAAAATACAATTTAAATTCTCCAGGTCAACATATATAAACATATATATAAAACAAACTAGTTTAGGTGTGGGAACCCTGCTATTCAGGGAGATGTATGTACTACATGTATATATTCTAGCATTGTATTGCGTTTTGTTGTTTAATGTCACACTGTAAAGCACTTGATCTGCATTTAATGTGTGAAAGGTGAAATATATAAACACACACACGATCTCTACCTTAACGTAGGCCACGATCTTCAGTGATATGGTCGCCAGGTACAGCGAGTTCATGGCGAAGTCCATCAGGTTCCACCAGTCGTGGATGTACTCTGTGAATCCCCCGTCCCACATCTCCTTAATCTCTGCCCAGATGAAGCCTGAAACACACAAACACACACACTGAATACATAGAGCTTGAAGAGTGGAGCATTAACAAACACAAACAAAGACTCTTTTATCTATTTCCATCTTCAAATGCCTCAGTAGTATCAATATCATCACATCTTGGATTATTATACATAAAAACTTTCAGGACATTATTTAGCCAGCCATTAGTTTGTGCCACGGTTTACTCCTAAAACACATTTCAGGGGAAAGCTAATATTTTTCCTAATTCAAACAAAACCAAAGGGTATTTACTGTAATTGGGAGAAGATGTGTCTTAATTACAGTACTGTGCGAATCTAAAGTGGTATTCACTGTTGTTTCATTACAGCCGAATTATTGCGATTTGGATCAGTTGTCAGCTAAACCGAAACTTAAACAGCGGAGTCGTTCTGGGATCAAAGACAGAAGAGGGAGTTTTGATATGTACGCGCTCATCATATCACAGGTTTTCGGTGTCTTTGTGTATTCCTTTCCTTCCTCTCTTTCTTTAAATAAATGACTCAGTATCTCACACATGCACAAAGACTTTATAAACCAGTGGTGTGTCCAGGACAGCCTTACTGTGATGAAGAAATCTCTTTCAGACAGTAAAAACAACAGATTTCAGTAAAGGGGAAATAAAATACTTCTTATCTGTTTAGTTTTTTTTCACTTTGTTGCTATTCATCAATTGTGTGTGTGT